TCCAGGGGATAAAATCAGCAATTTATGCAACACAGTGACCTGTAGAGGCCTGTAACGGGGGCTGAGGGACACTCATTGGAGGCGAGCGAAAGGGCAGCTTAGCAGGGCCATAATCCGCGGGCAGCTGCAACATGGCCAGTTGCCAAGAAGGAAACAGCTGAAGTTCAAAGGCCAGAGCCCACAGCTACAGGTGACTGCTCAGGAGTAAGCGGCTCTGCAGTGGCAGCAGGCAGAGTCCAGGGAAGCAGGCCAGCAGATGAGAGCAGGCGGCTGCTGCCCCACGGCCGGTCAGTCGGGAGCACCTGAGCGGAAGGGCTGGGGCAGCAAGGCCTGGGCCAGCGCGAGGAGCTCCTGGTAGTAGGAGCTGCTCCTGGGGGACGCTGTAGCCCTGGCAAGGTGCCCTGCGGCCTGAGAGGCAGCCGGCAGCTTGGGGACAGGGTTTTGCAGCTGCACAGTCACTTGCTTTATGCTGGGCTTCACCAGCCAGGGGGTTGGGTTGTAGCTGCAGGAGCAGCTTAGAGGCCGCACAGCTGGTGCACGGGGCGCTCCATGTCCTGAGCCCCGCATGGTAGGCCATGGCTGAGGGCCGAGGCCCAGGCAGGGCCAAGGCCCCGGGGAAGAGGCAGAGCCTTGCCAGGGACCAGGGCCAGGGCCTGCTGGGCTGAGTGAGCCAACAGGCCGTAGGGCCAGGGGGCCTGGGGAGTGAAGCTGGAGTCAGAGCTGCAAGGCACAGGTGTGGCAATGGGACAGCCAGGACCGGTCCTTGAGTGGTGCCCAGTGCCAGCCAGGACCGGCCAGGCTTTGTTAGCAGACAAAGGGCCCAGGTGAGGGGCAGCGCTGCCTGGATCACGCCTGGGCTCGGGGCAGGCGAGGGGTGGCGGAGGGCACAGCAGCCCTTGGGGCAGGCCCTGTGCAGGGCCCCGAGACCCCCCCGCTGTGCAGTAAGGATCCCAAGTCCTGCATCACACCTGGCGACACCTCGACAGTGCTGCAAGGCCGCCTGGTACCTTCCGCAGGCTTGTCCG